CCCCAAAACCCCAAAACCCCAAAACCCCATGAATGCTTATTTCAACAATTAATTGCGCATCTATTTTAAGAAATAAAGGAAATAAATCTCAAGGGTTAGTTTTATTCATTTATTTACCAGAATAAAATTTGAATTATCTTCTCTCACTTTGAAAAATCATTTTGAGAGAGTTAAGTTTTCTAGTGCATCAACTGGGCATTAGAAGATTTGTCTATCGTGGAAGCATTGAATACTAGCCCAGTAATGAACTAGAGCTGCTGCAACAATCAAGAAGTGGAATAGCTGATGAGATGATCCCTATATTTGTTAATATCAAATAAAGTTTATACAAAGAAGTCAAAAGTGCCTGGCTTAAGTCTTTCAGGGAATTTCACAACATATAGTAAAGCTCCGAAAATGTATAATGCACCTCCAATAGCCCAAGGGAGACTGTGGAAGTGATGAACGTATTTTTCATGACTCAAAAATTCAGCATGATAAATTGGCACAATGGATAGCAAGCCGCATATAATAAAAAGAATCCCTCTCAAAGTCCTGTACTCAGGCTTATTGTATTTAGGAATAAGCAGCAATACAAAACAGAAAAGACATGTTATGTATTAAAGACTAAGGTAGACGTTTCTCCAAACTATATACAATATTAATGGCTAATAAATTACCTTCCATTTCATTGCAGAAGAAGGAATAGTAGAGAGGGGGTGTGTTACTGCCAGCAATTAGAATACTAATACCACAGTAGTCGAGTCTAGATAAAAAGTTATTCACTGAGGAACTGTGAGCTGTAAACAAGTGAAATGTAGCTGAAAATCCCATGCACAAGATAGCACTGAATAAATGTATGAACAATGGCCCTAGAGGTTGTCAATCAAAATAAAAACTTACATCTAGGTACATAAGTAATGAACTTCTTGGGATCTTTAATCAAAGGTTATATTTCAAGCCAGTCAAATTCTTTTGAGTCTGCTAAGTTCTTTACTTCTGTAGTCCATTCCTCAACTCTTAATTAAAGGTATTTTACGAGATTCTCAATATATTTAAACTAATAAATGATGATGATTTGAAGAAATAATTTACTTTTGGCTTGTAGTATTCTCCATGGTAATCATCCTTCTTCAAGGCGTAAATAGCTTCATTAATCTCAGAATCAAGGAACTAAGGAAGGCCAGACAAGGCTTTTGAAAACTCCCCAAATGTTTCTTAGCACCTATTCAAACACTCATTAGGGTTATTCAATAATACTTCACATATATAGAAGGATCAGCAATTTAATGATAAATCTTCATTACTTGATTTTCTAGAGATTCAAAAAGAGTAGCATGTGGGTGGCTAACTGAGGAAGTATCATGCTCACTTTTATTGGTTATTTATTATTAATAATTTTACATGATGTCGTAAGACACGAGGAGGTCATTGATTTTCCTCTGCAAATTCTCTCCATAGAATGAAAGCTTAGAGTTATAGTGCTCACCTTGTCTTAACCCATCATACTGTGAGTTCTAATTAAGGAGTTACTCACCATTATAACAAATAATAATAGTAGTAGTTAAATAGGTTCTAGTTTAAGGAAGCACTTACCTCAAAGATTTGAATTTTCGAGAAGAAATTATGAGGGAAATCCTCTCCTATCATGTCATTCATGCTCAAATTATTAAGCCAGGAAGAGTGAATATTCTCTAGAATTGTCCCGTTGACCTTGGGGGGTGCTAGATAAACAACAGTATATAAAATGAGTCCGATAAAGAGGATCACGCCAAAAATATGGCTCCAGACATTAACACTCTCATTGTGAATCATAAATAGAGATTTGAATATAGATCTCTTTGAATGAAAGCCTATTCTGTACCCTCCAACAATAAATTCATTGTCTTGTATATAATCCCTAATGCTAAGTTAATAAATAGTAGTCTTACGGTGCTTCTTCGTATGTGCCTATAAATTATTTGCTGGCTTTAGTTTTCATTTCAACTGATTTTGGTTTACTTATGATTTCTGTTTTACTCTCTATTATATCCTTCTCAGTAATCCATTTCTCTTTTTGCTTTCGAACCTTTATCACTTTCTTCTTAACCTTTTCAGTCTCTAATATGATTATATTAATAATTGAGCTTTAAATTGAAAAGTGGATGAAAGCTAACGTCATCAATATAAGAATGACAAAGAAATCATCTTGCTACTAGTTAATAGACTTACTTACCCGTATCACTTATTTCTCTTAAATCACGGATAAGATTGAAGTTTTCCTTTTTGCCTCCTTTTCCCTTGAAATCCTATATCACATCCTGTTCTTCATACTCGTATGGGTCTGCATCATTATTTTCAGTTTTTGAATTTTTTTCAAAATTCTTGAATTATTTGAAAAACGTGTTTGTAGCCTTCATTATAATTTTGTATAAATTATATATCTTTTTATCCTCCTATAAATAAGTATATCATTAATTAATCCCAAGATAACTTATTACATCATTAATTTCACTATTGAAAATTCCATGGGGTTTTGGGGTTTTGGGGTTTTGGGGCACCTGTATTTAAATTTTGAAATTAGTTT